AATTTTTTCAACATTTTTATGTCACATGATGAGTAATAAATTAGTGTTTGGTCATTCAAATAAGAAGATTAATTTTTTTCATTGAAGTTTTTTTTGGAGGATCTATGGAAGAGGTCAACACTGAGAAAAACTTCCTTTCAGGTTTTCGCCGAGCTTTTGACAGTTTTTATACTGTCTTCAGGGCGTTTTATTATCATATATAAAAAATATAAAAAAACAATTAAAAACAAATTGCACAAAAATTGAAATATCTTATGTAAACCTTAATGGGGAAATAAAAAGACATGGTGTTTTGGGCAGAGAAGTACATTACGTTTTTTTTGTGTTGAGCACCAAAAAAAAACGAAAAAAAAACATAATGTACTTCTGTGCCCAAAACACCATGTCTTTTTATTTCCCCATTAAGGTTTAAGTAAGATATTTTAATTTTTGTGCAATTTGTTTTTCATGTTTTTAATTTTTTTTTTTTTTTTAATATGATAATAAAACAGGCCCTGAAGACAGTATAAAAACTGTCGAAAGCTCGGCGAAAACCGAAAGGAAGTTTTTCTCTGTGTTGACCTCTTCCGTAGATCCTCCGAAAAAACTTTATGTTTCCAGCAGGTCGATAATCCAGCTCATCGTTATATTTTTTCATTGACTTTTTTAAGTTTTTGATAGCATTGCACACAAGTGGTCACTAATCTACATGCCGTTGGTAGCAAGTGAGCTTTTGACTCACAGCTTTTTAATAATAATGTTACAATTATTTTTTTATGTAGCACTGTTATTATTATTTATATTCGAATAAGAAGCTAACAGAAAAATAATTAATTGTTGCAATGTATATTTGATTTTTTCTCAGCACCACCAGCAGTTTTAATTCTTGTTGAAGCAATTCATTTCCAATAATACGATTGGTCATGTAATGAGAGAATATTTTACAGAAACAGAATAATCTTGTTTTTTATTTCTTTATTTAAAAAAAAAATATTATTATTATAAAGGCATACAACCACGATGGGTCAAAACTGCCTTGATGATGAATTAATCAATGAGGGAAGAAAACAGAAAGCGATAAGCCAGGAGGGGCAGGGACATCAAGAGCAGGTGTGCTCCTACAGCAAACCGGACACCAAAAGACCAGACAAGAACCAGACACCTAGACCAGCTCCTCTCCACACCTCCACATAAGACCTTAGTGGTTAAGACAGTGGCAGAGTTCTTAGAGGGCTGTGCATGGTGTGCCAGCATCCACAGCCCTCCCAAGTTCTGGGGGTCAAACTCAACCCAGAGGCCAGCCCCACCCACCCCCCAGCACAGGAGCTGCGCCCGCACTTAAGGCCGCCCCGCGCTCCTACTCATTTTTTGTCACAATTTATCCGTCAACCCAGTTTCAGTTAGGAACTCAAAAGCTTTCTAATGTTAGCTGGCGAATCTTTCAAAATTTCAGTCACATTGTTTCCAGGCTTATGTTTGACCCGAAGGTCTTCATAGTTTCTGCATGATGACAGAATATGCTTGATGGTGATTAGTTCACCACAAGTTGTGCATCGTGGGGGAGGTTCTCTGGCCATTAGGTAACCATAAGGTTAGTCTTGTGTGACCTATCCTAAGNAGAACATTGCTTTAAAGTAACTAGTTTCTTTTTTTTTGTTTAATACCAAAATCCTGCATTATTTTCCGGACAACCCAATATTATTATAAAGGCATACAACCACGATGGGTCAAAACTGCCTTGATGATGAATTAATCAATGAGGGAAGAAAACAGAAAGCGATAAGCCAGGAGGGGCAGGGACATCAAGAGCAGGCGTGCCCCTACAGCAAACCAGACACCACAAGACCAGACAAGAACCAGACACCTAGACCAGCTCCTCTCCACACCTCCACACAAGACCTTAGTGGTTAAGACAGTGGCTTCTTAGAGGGCTGCGCATGGTGTGCCAGCATCCACAACCCTCCCAAGTTCCGGGGGTCAAACTCAACCCAGAGGCCAGCTTTAAGGCCGCCCCGCCCTCCTACTCATTGTTTGTCACAATTTATCCATCAACCCAGTTTCAGTTAGGAACTCAAAAGCTTTCTAATGTTAGCTGGCGAATCTTTCAAAATTTCAGTCACATTGTTTCCAGGCTTATTGATTGACCCGAAGGTCTTCATAGTTTCTGCATGATGAAAGAATATGCTTGATGGTGATTAGTTCACCACAAGTTGTGCATCGTGGGGGAGGTTCTCTGGCCATTAGGTAACCATAAGGTTAGTCTTGTGTGACCTATCCTAAGCCTGGCCAGCAAGGTTTCTTCTTTTCGAGATCTTTGCATTGCCGTGTCCCACTGTCTGACACTTTCCTTAATTTCTCTGAGTTTGTTATCCTCGATATTTCGCCATTCTGATTGCTAGAGGTTCCAAATTTTTTCTTTAAGAAAAACAGCAAAGTCTTCACATGGCACTTCCGGCACATAAATACCATTTGATGCAGCACATTTCGCCGCTCGGTCAGCCTCCTCGTTGCCTTTTATACCACAGTGACCTGGGACCCACAAAAAACTAACTGCTGTACTCGTACTATTTTTTATAGCAAGTAAAATCTTTTGGATTCTTGGACTTGTGGAAAGTTTATTTTTGATGGTTAATAGAGCAGAAAGGGAATCTGCATACAACTAGGGCTGTGTGGTTCAAGTTTAGGATGTTAATGCATTTATTGATCACAATTATTTCAGCAGAGTAGTTGTTACATATCTGAGAAAGAGTGAACATCATTTTTCTATCCTGATAAACAAATGCCGCTCCAACACCACTTGGGTTACTGGAACCGTCCGTAAATGCGAAAGTTGCGTTTGGGATTGTACTTTTTATTCTTAAAAATTCTTTTTTATAAATGTATGAGGGAGTATTTTCTTTACGAAATCTTGTTAGACTAAAGTTTATATTTGGGGAAGGCATGAGCCACGGCAGAATCGGGGAGACATGTTTCTTTTGCATTTAGGGAATTGATAAGTCTGTACTGTTTGGGAACTCAAAAACTCGAATAATCTTGTTTAGAATGAAGTTAGAGACATATGGTTGCAAAACCAGGCACTAAGCACCCTAAAGATAAAGATGGTTCTGAAAATAAACTAGAGAGGTTAGAGAAACATAGGTACTGATCGTTAAGAAAAAGTTTTAAAAAGAATAAAAGAAAATTTTTCTGAGAGAAAATCTCCACTTCCTACTGGCTCGGTTAAAAAGAGTTTAAAAAAATATATATAATTTTTGTGCAATTAATAAAATAAGAATAAAGCATGTCTTCCCAAATAAAACTTCTAATTCGTTCATGACCAATCATTTTGATCTGCCTATGATTGCATTTCAGCCTCTGAAAAATGTTTCTTGCATGTTTTCCCCACACTGAAGATGCTGAAATACTCTGACAGACCAACCCTTGTGCCTGGTGGTGGCCTTGCCAAAAACAAACAATTGTACGGCTGAAACTAAATACAATAGTATTACAATAATTTTACTTAAATAGAAGGGAGTATATCAAATTAACATCGAATAATGAGATATTTTGTTGAACTCTACAACAAACATTGATACTAATAAAGTAGCGATGAAGCACATCTGATAGACAAAACCAACACAATTAGGCAGGCTAGAATGATCAGAGAGGATTGAATAAAAACAAAATATTTAATAAAATAATGTATAGAAAAATGAACAAAATCATTAATTCACTAATTTGGTTGTCCGCTTGGCCAATTAATATATTACAATTAATTAAGGTTTTTAGTTGGGATAAAAAATGGCAAAAAGGAGGGAAAGCTCAAAAGGGGTTTAGATAGGAAGTTGATGTCTGAGTGGATTGAGGTCACGATAGCTCAAGTGGTAGAGCAGCGGTGTATCTAGCCGAAGATCGTGGGTTCGAATCCCGCTCGTCCCATTGACTTGTTTATCCCAACTAAAAACCTTAATTAATTGTAATATATTAATTGGTCAAGCGGACCATGAAATTAGTGAATTTAAAAAATCATTAATCTGAACTTGATTAATTTCGTTGTTATAACAAATTGAAGTTCCAGTTTATAACAATATTGAAGTCAAATGAGATGTCCCCTTCAGCGTGCAAAGGCCCAATTGGTCATAGAATTCATGTTGAACATTTATTATTTTGTTTATTGTTTATTTTATTGAACTAAATTAGTTTTATTATTTTTTACCAAGTTATTCTTAATTATATATATATATACACAATTAATTACATGCAATTTTTTCGAAATGAAAAATTTGTGTCACAGGCTTTTGACTTTTGGCTCAATTCGCCGCTGTGCTCAAAAATTGTGTATATTTAATTGAATATATGTTTAATTAAGAACATGATAAAAAATAATGAAAAGTTGGTAATAACACAGAATCACCATGTCGATCGTACACAGTCCCACTAATGTAGTACAATCATTAATAAAATGTGAAACCGTGATTTGCTTACAACCAGAATAAACGGGAAGTAGAAAGGAGAAGATTGTGGCATGGGCGATCGAAGTCACAGTAGCTCAATTGTTTAGAACAGCGGTGTTTTGAGTTGAAGGTTGTGGGTTCGAATCCCGCCTGTGACACAAATTTTTCACTTTGAAAAAATTTTGTATAATTAATTGAGTATATATACAATTAATTTTATTTATAAAATGAAAAAAATTAAATCAAAACTGCACATGTATATAAATATTTTTAACAAAGTTGGCATAGAGGTCATATAAAATAAAAACAATCTTATATAATAGATTAAATAATATAATTAAAAAATTTATTACAAAAGATCAGAGATAAAATTGTAATTAGTCAATATTGACCACTAGCGATATACATATCGAATTTTTATTATCTTTTTACAGTACCTAGTCATAAAAATTAATAACATTTTTATTTTAAACAATTATTTTTCTATGCTGAACATGAAATTTACCTCATAGTTCAGTTTGCTATTTGCGGCCATCTTACATACTAACATCTAAACTAAAACGAATTGTAGAATGTTAATAAAATATATTAATGAAAAAGAAATGCCTTTAATGTTTAAATATAATAAAATATTAATAATTTGTGCTTAACTATTTGTTTGTCTTATTTCCAGCTCATAATTTTGTAGATTTTGGTTGCATTTTCCTACTTACTTTCAATGATAAAAATGAATACTAGGGTGGCAAATGATAGATTACAACATTAAATTACACAAAACAAGTAAAAACCTAAATAAAAACAAGAATACACATATTAAGGAAGACGTTCCAATTGTTATAAAGTTGACTAATCATGCAAAATTATTTTAAAGAAATTATTAATTACTACTATGTTATTTAATATTACTCATATATGTTTTTATTTTAAATTGATAATACTTAAAGACAATGATTAATTTGTTTTCTGTTTGCTTTTGCATTTTCTTACTTTCAGTGCTTAAAGAAAAAAGGAAGACCTGTGGTCTTGTGCACAATAATTGCATTATTAAGCCATTATAAAAATAATATATTAGATAAAATATAATATATATCTCTAGTAAAATAGCATACAATTGTGACCTACTCTGGCTATTATTTTCATTTGCTACCAGAGGTGTTAAATAATAATTAAAAATAGTTTTCTAACAGAATAAATACATATGTCCTGTTTAAAATAATTAAGATAAATAAAATTTTAAGTTTGACAGCTTAATTTTATATTATATAGTTAAAATGTAGACTGTCCAATTTAGCTTTATCAATCAAAGAAAATAAATATTGCAATGAAGCACAAATTAATCATATTTTTTTAAAACAAAAATAAGCACATCTATATCCTAATTAAAATCAGTAAATAAGCTATTACATATTTTAGAAAATGTGTTTTACGCATCCACACACTGCTAGCTCTGCAAGCTTTATCGACAGTAAGTTAATTTTTAGTGTAATATTTCGGATGGGATTTTCTCCCTTTCATTCGTTCTTTCTCTCTCTCACTGTCTTCCTTTCTTATACATAATTAAATCACGTAGCGTCATCAGCATACAGTCGAGACATAGACGGGCCTGGTTTGCACCACGTTTTTCTCCAGCGGTGAATACATGTGGCTAAGCCTGCTTTTCTTCTCCAGGTCTAACGCAAACCATAATCCGAGGCCGAAAAATATCAAGAGGAGTCCCATGAGGAGGGCCAATAGATTTCCCAATACTATGTGTGACATTTTCATTCCGAAGTAGCTGTCAATCGACACATTCCTCGGAGTGAAACATCTGAAATGCCAATTTGCGATTAACAAATGGTAAAAAGTTTGGTTTTGTTAGTAATGTGTGGTGATTAGTGACTGTTAGTCAATGATTATTCAGAAATCTTGAGATGCGGTCTGGGATGATGTAGGCTTCAGAAAAACATTTTCTTTATCGTGCCAACATTTCGATCTTTACAATTAATTAAGGTTTTTAGTTGAGATGAAAAAAAGCTAATGGCACGAGAGGGATTCGAATCCACGACCTTCGGCTAGATACACCGCTGCTCTACCACTTGAGCTATCATGACCTCGATCCACTCGGACATCAACTCCCCATCTCAACCCCACCTTATGAGTTTTCCCTCCTTTTGCCATTTTTCAAATGTCATGTAATTGGTTTGGATTCTCGACGACAATTGAAATGGCGACGGAGAGCTGTAGTGAAGAGTACTTAATTTTAATTAATTAAATCCACTAATTTCGTGGTCCGCTTGACCAATTAATACTTTACAATTAATTAAGGTTTTTAGTTGAGATGAAAAAAAAGCTAATGGCACGAGAGGGATTCGAATCCACGACCTTCGGCTAGATACGCCGCTGCTCTACCACCTGAGCTATCGTGACCTCGATCCACTCGGACATCAACTCCCCATCTCAACCCCACCTCATGAGTTTGAGATGGGGAGTTGATGTCCGAGTGGATCGAGGTCATGATAGCTCAGGTGGTAGAGCAGCGGCGTATCTAGCTGAAGGTCGTGGGTTCGAATCCCTCTCGTGCCATTAGCTTTTATTCATCTCAACTAAAACCTTAATTAATTGTAAAGTATTAATTGGTCAAGCGGACCACGAAATTAGTGAATTTCGATCTTTATTGAGCCCTGAAGATCATCTCAATAAAGATCGAAACGTTGACACGATAAAGAAAATGTTTTTTGTTGTGTTATATTTTCAAAATATGGACCGATGACGTCTGGTTTTATCACAAATACACATCAATAAAATTAATTGCATGAAAATGTTATGGTTTTTTTATTGTCTTTATCTTAGGCAGGCTTTAATAAAAGGAAATTTAACAGTATCAGTTTGACAAACAACCAAGAAGAAATTTTATTTTTTGTGGATGGTATTGTGTTTTCCTTATTTTTTATGATGAATTAACATTAATTGTTGTATGTTCTAAATATAATGTATTTTATTATTAATACTATTTGTATTTGTGATGAATTGTCTTTAGCTGGGTTTCCAATGCACATTGAAATTGAACGTAGTTTTCAATGGAATCAACGGATTTGTCCAAAACCTTTTATATTGATAGGTTGAAAAAATCCCAAGTTCTCCGTGGTTGAAAACCTTTATTCAATTTAGTAAATTGCATGGCGTTACGGGCTCAATCTGAATAATTCCCAAGGTGTGCCTTCAGACTGGGAATTATACCATGAGATTTCTCTGTTTAGTTTCTGATGATGGGCCAGGAGCCCAAAACGCCATGTAATTTCTTAAATTGAATAAAGGTTTTCAACCACGGAGAACTTGGGATTTTTTCAACCTATCAATAGAGAAGATATGAACTGTGGCGTTGGTAATATCCAAAACCTTGTATATTTGAATCAAGGTCATGAAATGTTAAAAAAATCAGAAAAGGGGGAATAATTCCGATACTATTGAGATTCAGACTATAGTTAATTGGGATGTTTTGGTTCTCTTTAGAATGTAGACTCTACCGGCAAAGTTTGTAACACTTGTAGCTGAATACCCTTCATATATAGTTTAGTTATAATTTCAATATAACTCAGAAATGGTCAAACCTATCAAAATTTTCAGTAAAAGTGGCATAAAATAAACTCTAGAATCGAATCGTACAATAAAAATATGAATTTCTCATTTAAAATAACAAAGTTTATGTCATTTTCCAGTAGATGAGAAAATTATGTTAAATCTGTTCCCACCACGCGATTCTTAGCCAAAATTTACTTGGGGTTTGTATAAGACCATTTTTTGCTAAAGTTAATCATTTCCAAATTAAATGGGTGGACTGTAGAAGTTGATACACCCTGTATATTATCTTTTTTTGCTTGGAAAGAACAAACCCCATGGGTGTAAGAAAATTATCGGAAATAAAATTTATGGTTACAGAATAAGTAACGTAGTTAAACATTGACTGATCAGAAGATAGTTGTGCTAATAACGATTTTAATCATATTTTCTATTTAACAATTTTAATAGGTTATACAACTCTTTTTTTATGGTATTGTGTAAATAATTATTGTTGGTTATGTAATTAAAATATGGATTTCTCATTTAAAATAACAAAGTTAATGCCATTTTCCAGTAGATGAGAAAGTTATGTTAAATCTGTTCCCACCACGCGATTCCTAGCCAAAATTTACTTGGGGTTTGTATAAGACCATTTTTTGCTAAAGTTAATCATTTCCGAATTAAATGGGTGGACTGTAGAAGTTGATACACCCTGTATATTATTGTTTTTTGCTTGGAAAGAACAAACCCCATGGGTGTAAGAAAATTATCGGAAATAAAATTTATGGTTACAGAATACGTAACATAGTTAAACATTGACTAATCAGAAGATAGTCGTGCTAATAACAATTTTAATCATATTTTCTATTTAACAATTTTAATAGATTATACAACTCTTTTTTTAAGGTAGTGTATAAATAATTATTGTTGTTTATATAATTAAAATAATGTAGAAATTGTGATAATTTGTATAAATAAATATTAATATGAAAATGGACAAAAGGTTGTGGAATAGAAAAAATGCATTTTTCTGAAGGAAAAATCCTTTCATAAAAGTGCAAAAGGAAAACCTAGGTTTTATGGTGAAAGAAGAGGAAAAAAATTACCTTATTTCTTTTGCAAGCGGTCCATCAAGCCTGGTGAACCATCGAATCGAAGCATTGCACTCCCACGGATTACCCCTCAAATCGAGGAATTCTAGTTGGACGAACTGATGCTTAAAATATGGATGAAGGGTTGTAAAGTTGCATCTTGCCAGGGAGAGCGACTTGAGTGGCAGATGGAAAAAAAGTGGCTTTGGGAGGTAGTCCAACCTGATGCTTCCACGCAGGGAGATACGTTCCAGATGTTTCGTATGTCGAAAAGCGTCATGGTCAATTGTCGTTAAGTATTTATTGTCCTCGATGATCAACTCCCTTAAATTCGTAGCCATGTGAAAAGGGTGCATTTTAAGTTCCTTTAAATTATTGCTGCTCAAATCTAGCACCCTTAAGTTGGGCGGGAATATCGGAAGAAAAGTGATGTTGTTGTATTTCAAATCGAGAATTTCAAGTTCAGAAGCATGGTCAAAAATATTAATTGGAAAATCTGACAAACCAAGTGATTTTGCGTATAGTCTTCTAAGACCGTTGTAAAGCGTCTTGTTTATAGCTTGATAAACACTTTCTTCATTTTTCAACAAAAAATTTCCAGAAATATCAAGTGTTTTTAAATGTTCCAACCCTTCAAAATTATCAGGATAAATATTTCTTAAAGTATTGTAGGATATGTTTAGAAAGTTGAGGTTTTTTACACCGCTGAGCATGCTTTTATGAAAGGCATTCACTTGGTTAAACGATATATCCAAGTATTTTAAGTTTACCCATGCGCTGAAACTTACATTTTTAAACATGTTGTTTCTAAGCGTGAAATTCACAATCGGCTGATTTTCCAGAGTTTTAGGCAGAACTTGAAGATTCCTGCTGGAACAATCGACGTCCCATGCAACAGGCCTCGAATGTTTCACATGACAATTAAAAGGCAGTACTTCTGCCTGTGTGATTCTGGCCAAGTTCAACAGAAAAAACACCAACATTTTTATAACATGAATCTTGTTATACTGACTCTCAACGTTTTTGGCTTTTGATATCAAAAATTGCAGATAAGATAAATCTGTACAAACAAAATAGTACTCCACGGTTAATAAACGTCAAATTATTCTGGGGTCTCTAGTAATATTTATTCACTTTATTAAAAAGGAATTTAAGTTTATAGTGCAATTTGGTTCTTGTCAACATTTCTCATTACAAACACATTTTTAGATTAGATTAAAAAGAAATGCGTATTGTGTTTTAAGTTTTAATAATTGCAAAAAACAATGTATACTGCCAAGTAAAATTTAATTTGATTAATTTAAATTTAATGCATGTCGATAAAAAGTACAGTTCTAGAAAATAATCTTTCTTTCTGAATAATATCAATAACAAATTGAATATACTCCAATTACCTAATTTATGTTCGATATCTTTTACATCATAGTTTGTTTGTAGTCAGTATTTTTTTATATTTGTATGATCCATAACAGTGATTCACACTAGCACAACTGAAAGCAATCAAAGACTTCATAGTGTCGACCGAGTCTAAATTGATCTTAACAACCTGATAAATGTTCATAATTTTGTCGAACGCTTGTTAAACAGCAATTTAAATTTTTTATGGTAATTAAATAGAATTTGTTTGAAGATAATATAATTTTTTTTTATACACTGAACAAATATTTTGTCTATTTTCAGTTAATAGGAAAATAAGGAGATTTCATTACAAGACACGTAGAGAAATTAAATATATTTAAACAATTATAAAATCTGCTGGCGTTTCGGTTGAAAAAACAATGCATGAAGCGATGAAAACGTAATGAAAAATTATTATCCTCGAACTGTCAAAGATAATAAATATAAGTGTCGTGATAATAACAGGTATAATTTCAAGATTTTACACAAAGTTCAGGCACGACAGCGCGGTTAATCGCCGACGATGATGACCGAACGGGGCATGTCTTCAGGGCTGAATTGTTCCGCGATGTGTGCAGGGATTTCCTCATGGCTTTTGATCCTGATCTGGAACTTTTCCTTCCACTCGTTGATTTCCTCGCCTTTCTTGACGACCTGTTTATTCATGGCGTCCATCAGTGTCGTAAGCTGGAAATAGGACAACTATACTACTATCTGTACATAAAAATTTACCCCATAAGAGTTCTGTTCATTTTTATTACCTGATCACGGTTCTGCGTGAGTTCTGGGATGATATCGCCGACAGTCTTTTCACAAAGGACGCCACCAATCAATCTAAAGCACTTTCTACTCTTATCCATCAACTTGAGCTGTTCTAAAACAACTCTGAAAACATCCAAACAATTTATTTGTCAATGCGTAATAATAAAAAAACCAATATTAATTTAGTTTAAACCAAATATTATATAATGAAGTTTAGGTTTATGGTAATACTTTCTAAACATATGAAGGAACACAGATTTTTTAAAATAATCTAAGGTCAGAATATAAAAATTGATATAAAAAAAGCTGTATAGTCAATTTTTTGATATAAATAACAATTTTTTAGTTAATAACTAATTAAGCTAACACACGGAAGTTTGTAAAATTTGAGTTTAATAGTTGTTTTTTAATTTATTTTATTATTATATTAGGACAGCTCCTAGTGATACTAGCAATGTTGTGTTTATAAATTCTATGTTTTATGTTATGAGTGGAGGGAGAATTAACCCATTAATTTATGCTCTTAAGAAAATTTAAATTTCTTGCTAGGGAGGAATTGCGTGGGCCATTGCTGTTCAGACTTAGATTGCCCTAACAGGATAGTCGGGAAGGGTTTGGAATGAAAGGTGTAGGACTAGTTGGTTAGAATGAGGGTCATGGATTTTATGGATCGGTATTGACTTTTTGTGGTTTTAAGGACAAAAGAGATTTGAAGGTCTATGTTGATAGTATGGTTGGATACAAAGGAGGAAGCTTAGACAATGGCTCAGAGGATTTTGGACTGTATTGACTGGATTTTGCCGACTTGTGGCAACCAGATGACCTGGACTGTCACAAATCACCTCTGTGGAGGTGCTTCATGTGCCATGCCCATGCCAAACTGATTGCCATACAGAATGGATCTTATCACCTGCACTAAGGTACATTTAAGAAGTTATTCTGGAAGGTGTTGTCCCATTTGTTCCATTTATTGAGGATAATTTCATGTTAAAGCATGATAATGCTCGAATGTATGTAGCTCGAGTTGTCACCCAAACCTTGGAGGATAGGGATTGGATTATTACAATGAATTGGCCAGCATGTTTCTATAGAACAGTTATGGATCACAATAAAGAGGCAGATTAGACATCATTCGTCGCCCCCAACAATTGTTAAAAAGCTTCAAACCGCTCTTGTTGAAGAATGGGAAATTCTGGGGAAATTTTGTTTCACAAGATGAAAGCTTATTTACTCGATGCTCAGGAGATTTAAGACCTAAGGTCATACACACTATTAGGAGCATTAAATGATTTTCTGGTTATTTGGTGAATTTTCTTTCAAACCATCATCATTATTGAAACTCATGAATTTCTGATCTCATTTCATTTGGTTTGTATTAAAATAAGTATGTTGCAATTAACATAACAATAAATGTACATATAGTTTGCAATAAACAAAATACGAATGTCTAGTTTTTGTGTTTGAATGTACATTGCACTGACATTCTTTAGGGATAGAGTTTGTGGATACCCCAAGGGTTCTGTTATAAGTGAAAATGAGAGAGAGAAAAAAAAACCTTTTTTTTGCACTGGCGTGAACAAGGACTCGAGTTGAGACTGGTCGGTGTGGATGAGCCGGGTGAAAAAGAAAAAAAAAGGAACATGACAGACAGTGTGTTATTTTATTATTTTGGGACTTTTCTCATCATCGTGGAGTGGAGGGTTCGCCTGTGCGAGGGGAGAACTGCTCTAGAACAACAAGAAAAAGAACGTACACGAGGTTCGAGCTTTTAATTTATATTGTAAGATTGGTTTCTGGACAGTTTTTTTGTTTTGTTTTATTTTATTTTTTTGTTTTACATTTTATTCATAATACAGAGGACATTGATATTTTACTTTCTTGGTTTTTATTGTATTTATTTACTTTTTTTTATTTGTTATCTTGTTATTTCACTCTGAGGGTTTCACTTTTTTCCTAAAAGAAGGAAAAAAATAAATAAAACTGTGGCGCCCGATTATTTCACTTTTGGAGACAAAGCGGCCATGGAAAAAAATCTCCACTGAGCCCCAGGTACCCGGCGACCGGGTGAATTGCCAAAGGTCCGGCGAGGAACCGGTAACAGTTAGATCTGGAAACCTAGTGCAAGGTAGGCTCAAATGCATGACTCTGATGTCACACTGATCAGTAGGGTCATCTACAAATGAGTATGGGTCAAACAATTGATTTAATAACATTACAAGGACAAACCTGGGAATCGGACCCAGAAGAGGTACAAATACAACAAATATGAGACCTTGATGCCCTAATAATTACTAGGCTCGTCACCAGATGAATATAGATAAAACAACAGGCCCTATTGCAAAGTTAATATTGGATTTGCCATAAAAAGTTTCAACCCTTTACAAATCAATAATGACTTGTTTTCTAATGGCTTCTTCATGAATTAAGAGCTTTGAACTTGTGAAAATTTGCATATTTTTGAAAGATATTGTCATTTATAATTAAAATAGTAGATCTAGGTTCAGACTCTCTGCATAACTGAACTGAAAAGTGAGAACTGACCAGGAAAGACCAAAGGTTGTGCAAGAAGAGCGAATTTTTGAAACATTGCTGTTTGCAAAGTAACATGTATCATCATCAGCTTTCAGGAATCCTGATTAGTTATTCCTTCAGATGTCCAGTAATAAGGGAATTTTTTTATTGAAAAATTTCATAAATGTACCCATATCCAGTTAATGAAGGCGTTTGTACCAATCGTTTGTTCGATTCCCAGGTTTGCCCTTGGAATGTTACAATCTGGTACATTGCATTTAAAATAATTATTATAAACTTAGAAACTGGTCTACTACATATGTACTATTCTAAGTAATAGAAGGGTGCCTTCTTGAACGACATTTAACACTCCTTGCATTTTTTTTTCTCAAAATGAAACGGTTCAAAGGCTATGAGTAAATTTATGACTAATATGGTACATAATGGAAAAAATTTTTTGGAGACTTTTTTCCGTGAGTGTATGTACAGTAAATGCGCTATAGTTTTTCAGTCTGAAATCATAGAAATTGAACACAGTGCCAGAGCACTTAAAAGGCTAGGAAAACATTTGAGGAAGGTACCTATTTTTTCCGAGTTAGGCGGCACAAGGCCTTAGCTGCATGCGGTAAAGGAAAAAAAAAAAGTGAATATAAATTCTCTATGCACTAAACCCTTTTGTGTGGCGTAACACCTTGCCACAAAAAATATTAAATCCAATTAATGAGTTCAAAACTTGGTGGAGCTCCAAGTATGTGGCCATCCACAAGACTTACAAAGGAATCATTTGAAGTAAAGGACTCTGGTTGGACTAGTGACAGGGTACTGTTACCGAAGAAGGCACATGCACTGGATAGGAGTACAGACTGAGGAAACACTGTGCAGATACAGGAAGAAGAGGAGATTGTAGAATACATTTTATATTTTTGTGAGGTTCTATGTAGGTGTAAATGCTTGCTAGTAGAAGAAGAAAAGTTACAAGATCTTACAATAAGGAGCCACTGGCAAGGCTATGGACGTTGTTTAACAACCTGAAGCTAGCCAGTGATTTGTAAAATTAGAGGAGCGCAATAAATCTACTCAGGGAGATGCAGAAGGCCTTGTTAGCACCACTTTTATTACTGAGTGGACACATAGGAAAATGCGCTACAGTTTTCCAGTCTGAAATCATAGAAACTGAACACTGCACCAGAGAAGTTAAAAGGCTAGGAAAACATTCCAGGAAGATACCCATTATTTTCTGACAGTCTGGTGGCACTTAAGGCCTTAGATGCATGCGAGGAAAGACAAAAAGCATATGGAATTGTATAGTAACCCTGTCAGAAATCCGACCTGATGGCCTGAAAAGGAACCAGTATCAATTCTCTATCCCCTGAACGCTATTGTGACCTAATATGTTGCCACGAAAACGTTTAAATTCAAATTAATGACTCCAAAACTTGGTGCAGCCCCGGTTGGGGTACTGCCACCTAAGAAGGCACATGCACTGGATAGGACAGCATAGATACAAGAAGATTGTAGAACACATTTTATGTTTTTCAGAGGGTCTATGTAGGTGTAGATTCTTACAACTAGAAGAGGAAACGCATCAAGATCTTACACCAAGGAGCAAGGCTATGGAAGTTGATTAACAACCTGAAGCTAGCCAGTGATTTTTAATATTAAAAGGGTACGATTGATCTACCCAGGTAGATGTGCAGAAGGCCTTGTGGCCACCACTTTTATTACTGTTTGTACTACTCTAACACTGATCATTAGGATCATCTGCAGATGGGCGTGGATCAAAAAATTAATTTGCTTAGGAAAGCCTCTTGTAGATGTCATAAGAGTGAAGTTTTAAGGCATTTTAACTCTAAAGAAATGTATTGGGTAGTTAATCTTCTAACACAGAGGGCATAGGTTATACTTTTTAGACAGACTGCAGTATGGAAGTGTTATGTTGCATGTATGATGTGAAAAAACCTCAATTGGCAACATTTTTGAACTTTATTGTTCAGTTTGATTGGAATAATGGATTTTCTGATTCATTTGGTAGGAAAGCATTGATTTAAGTTGGTCCCAGTTAAAAATAAATACCACCTGGTCGCATGTGTAGGAGGCAAGGGAGGAGATGTTATACTGGAGGATTGTCTGCAGATGTGACTACCTGTGTTCGTTGAGGTCGCCTTCGATTTCTGTCAACTTGTTCATGAGCATCTGCTGCTCTGCCCGGAGTTGGTGGAAACCGGATAAAATCTCCTCGGCGGCGGCCTGTTTGAGTTTCGCTTTCTGCTTTCCACCGTCGGCTTTCTTCTCATCTCCGCTTTTATTCTCTTCCACTGCTTTCTTCTCTTCCTGCTCAGCTTTCGCCTGGTCCTCGCTCATTTTTCTATAATTCAACCTGAACAAAATAACTTTCCTGGGTTGTAGGGTTGAGGGGATAACCTGATAATAGCCTCCCGCGCATGGCCAGCGCCGGTTTGATATTTTCGTCGAAAAGAGCTAGTTCATGCTAGACAATAATTGACCTAAAATTCATACAAAAACGAGTAAAAATATATAAAACACAGAAGAGATTTAAAATAAATAAAATTATAAAAGGTAGTTTGATTTCTGTGTCTTTAAAAGACAATTGTCCAATGAAGGTGATAAGCCCTCCAATTTTCAAATTTATCTTACAAAAACAAATAAATGGAGGCTGCCGGAGCGGAAAAATGAAACAAAAGAAAATCCCAATTGAGGCGTAATAAACTACAATGCCTAAAATCGCAATTTAAATAAGAAAAGCTCCCTCAAAAAAAGTATTATTGTTTTTTTATTACTGTTAAGTAGCATTAATTTATTTATAGTATTTGAATGGAAGAATAAAAGGATAACGATGAGCCTGTATTTATGCGGAGACTGTTGCTAGTCTGACTCTATTATTACTATTATTATTGGCTATACAAGCCTAAGGAAAATGTTTAAATTATGGAACAAAAGTTCGAAATTCTAATTAAAGAATAGAAATAAATTTTAGAATTTAAAATGGGCTTTTTGGCATTCCAAATTAAGTATTTTAAAAGGATAAATTAAAGATTTTGGATGTTTGGAGACAGAGCTTTATAGCACTCAGAAGGGATATAGCTCACATAAGATAGGAAGTTTAAATTAAGTTTTTGTTAAGGCGTGAAATGACCTTAGCCGTTAAAACGCCTTTAATAATTAATAATAATTCAAGAAATGATTTTAAACATGTTTTATTAATCTACTCAATTAATTATACAGGATTTTTTCGAAATTAAAAATTTGTCATAGGAGAAGTCAAGTTAGCTGAAGTGGTTGGAAGAGCCACATACTGTCGAAGGTCGCGGGTTCGAATCCTGCCTGTGTCACAAATTTTTCATTTCGAAAAAGTGGTGTATAAATAATTGAATAATTAAGAAATAAAGGATAAAAAATAATAGAAGTTGGATTTTTTAAATTACAAAGCGTTCCATAACTCTCAAGACACTCCTCCCAACGTGATGACAACTTTCCTCTGAATATAATTTTGAATCTTTATTATTAACCAATTCTTAAAAACCCTTTTCTAGCGACTTGTGATCAATCATTTTTTTATGTTGTAAAACGTCCAGGTGTCTAAAAATGGTGATGAAGGAGAGAATGTGAGAGAGATGGAGAGAGGAACCATGGTTACAAAAATGATGATAAATGATAACCCACTATCCATCTAAAAAAATTAAGGCGCATAATGATATAGAATTGTAAGGCCTGCCAGTCGTGATGGTGTAGGATATCAGTATATCAGCCATAAAAACAAAAATAAAATTAAAGTAATCTAAATATGGGATGGGTAACAAAGAGAGAACGTTAGAGTGATAAAAAGGACAGTTTAAATGAGAGGGACAGAGAGAGAGAGTAAGAAGTGACTCATTATAAAGAGAAAGAGAGATAGAGGGTGGCAGGGAATGGGAGAGCGTTGGAGAAATTGAGAGAAAGTGTGAGAGAGTGAGTGAGAGAGTGAGTGAGAGAGAGAGAGAGAGAGAGAGAGAGAAAGAGAGAGAGAGTGAGAGAGAGAAAGTGATAATGAGAGGGAGAGGAGTGAGTGAGAGGGAGAGGAGTGAGTGAGAGAGCGTGGGAGAGAAAGAAAGAGAGAGAGAGAGAGAGAGAGAGAGAAAGAGAGAGAGAGAGAGAGAGAGAGACATTGGTTTACGAACACCTTAAGTGACTCATTATAAAGAAGAAGAAGAAGAAAAATAACTTTATTCTGGGACTGGTGTCCCCAAAGAATAATTTACATGAAATAAATAAAGGAAGTTCCTTCTATGACGTTAAAAGTAAAAAAAAAGAAATCTTGGCACAATGTATACCAATAAGGCAGGACAGAAGAAAAAATTACGAGAATATTAAACAAAAATAACAAATGTCAACGTGAGGTCTCTGCTTGGANAGTGAGTGAGCGAGAGGAGAAACCATGGTTACAAAAATTGGTGATACATAATACGCACTATCAATCTCATAAAATTGACGGCGCACAATGAAACAGTACTATAAGCCCCGCTGGTCGTGATGGCTTAGTATATTCTCTCACCCGTAAAACCAAAAATCAAATGAAAAACTATATAACGAGTAGCAATTAATAATATGTGATGGGAACATCCTCCCTCAACTTTCCCATCTTCTATTGCAGGTGTGTCGCTTATGGTGTGCTTTCGTAGAAACAAGAAAACCGCCTGAAAGCACAAATGAACTGTTGTGTCAGATTTATTTTTTGTACTCATCGAATATCCAGCGTCTGACATCTATATTCAGACCTATCCTGGCTTCATTCCTCATTTAGTAGGAAATATTTCCTAGGCAACTGCCTTTACCATAAATTCTCTTCGACCTCACTATATTTTTCAGCTTATCCATTTCGAATCTTATATCCACTCGCTTAACACCAGCTCATCGCCCAGTGATTTGTACTTTCCTTGGCATAAAAGCTCCGCATTTGATCGGATTACTTGATCAAGCCACAGATCTCTGGAATTGTCTTCCTTTGCCAATCCGCAAAGCCGACTCGTTAACTTCTTTTGACACCCTCCAGTACAAACTTCTCATCTCCCTCCAAACAGAGCCAACATAGCCCACAATACAATTAATTAAGGTTTTCAGTTGAGATAAAAAAGTCAATGGCACGAGCGGGATTCGAACCCACGATCTTCGGCTTGATACGCCGCTGAAAAATGGCAAAAAGGAGGGAAAATTCAAAAGGTGCGGTTGAGATGGGAGGTTGGTGTCCGAGTGGATCGAGGTCACGATAGCTCAAGTGGCAGAGCAGCGGCGTATCAAGCCGAAGGTCGTGGGTTCGAATCCCGCTCGTGCCATTGACTTTTTTATCTCAACTGAAAACCTTAATTAATTGTAAGATATTAATTGGTCAAGCGGACCACGAAACTAGTGAATTTAATAGCTCACAATATTATTAGGCCGTTTTACTACATAAGAAAGCATTTTTCCTTCCTTTTATCATTTTTATTTCTATTTTTTATATTTTCTATTATTAAATCGATTAGGTTTCGTTGTTCGATTGACCAAATAAATTCTTCTCAATTAATTAATCTTTAAGTAAGGTATTGGTTGAGATAAAAAATCAGTGTTCCTAGCGGGATTCAAATGGTAGAGCAGTGGCGTATTTAGCCGAAGGTCGTGGGTTCGAATCCCGCACGTGACACTGACTTTTTTTTATCTCAACCAATATCTTAATTAAAGATTAATTTTCTATTTTGTTTTATGTCAATTTATTTCACTATATGTTAACGTCGTCACTCTCTAAACTTTAGCAGTTTTATATTTTCTGTTTATTTAATTTATTGTTCTTGTTTAATTTAATTGTTGCGGCTAGCATGAGTCACTTAAGTCAACAAGCAATCTTTAAGTTATTTTTTTTAAATGTCTTATAGTTCGAATAAAGATCATAAAAGAAAAGATAATAAAACTTGTAATAGAAAGTGCGAATGCCTTCCACATATGGGCATAAAAAAGATAAAAATGAAGGCGGAAGCAATTCTCTTGTAACATTTGTCTAAGAGGTCCTTCAAGGGTGAAAAATGAGTTCTTAAGATTGCCTATAAAGAATAAAGCATCCCATTTAGATGATATTTAATGCAATAAAACAACAATAAAAACGTCTAGCGTATGTTTCGCATTGTTTACCAACTGCTCGTAACAATTGAGATCTTTCCCCGGCGTTTGATTTACTGCGAATCCGGATACCCTTTCTAACATCACGATTAGGATAATTGTTCTTCCGATTCCGGATAGTCCGGGGGAAAATTGAGCAGACGCGAAGTACGGAAAATTGTGCCAAAGTCTAAAATTCGTCAGTTAAGTAACAACACAGAAAAAATTCGTCTCAATGACAGATGGGTAAATTATTTTGTCAGCTATCACAATCAAATAAACATTTACAACTATTGTTTTAAATTTTATGTTTCTTTACAGTTCATAGACAGAATTATTGAATTCAATGATGCATTTTGCACAATTGTAAGCATTGGTGCACGATTATTAAAACCAAAAATTTTCATCGATATCCATTTAATAAAGAAGTCAATTAAGTTAGACATCCAATCTATTTAATAGTAAAGTTAATCTACATTAAGTGTAGTGTTTGTGTGTTATTATAGATTACATAAATGAGTCATGCTTAAGGAAAGATATGTATTTTGAAAAGTGGGTCACGTTAGCAATTCCAGATGGGCAGATAGAGAGAGTAATCCATTGTCAAGATGATTTAAACTGACTAATAAGCTTTGTGTATCATGTTATAATACATAAATAAACAATGAGCATCTTACGTAAATATACAATTTAGATCCAAATACATTTAAATAATAAAGAAAACCTTTTTTTTCGAATTTTCAAAAAGAAAGATTTCTTAAGAATAAACAAGCCTAACAATCTCACTCCCCAAACGCAATCAAATATTTTATTAAAGATTGATATGATATCTGCATTAATTAGGATTAAAAATGCATTTTAGTATATTATTAAATTATTGCATTGTGTAATAATTTTTGTAATTGATTTTTTAAATTCCTCAGTTTCCTTTTTTCCCCCCCCCCAATAAATTGTACTTGAGACCGCAGCAAACTGACGAATATGGCAATAAGATTACAATATTCATTTGTGGAATAGCAAAAACTGTCATATTTATTTTTCCGATCCTTTAAGTAAAAAAATAATTTACAATTGATTATCTGCTATAGATAAAAGATCCATTGATCTCACAATAAAAATATAATAAGTGATTATTTGTACACCATTTATTTTTTTGATGTGAACGGCCTTGTATTTTACGGCGCCATCAAGCTACACTTCTGCATGACAGCCTGGTTTTGCGGGCTTAGTATTTTGAGCCCCATTTGTTATCCATTACTCCTGCTTATTAAATTATAATTTTTTAAATGGATTCACTTAAATTGATAATTCTATATTTTCTTTTATAATAACTATAAAAATATTCTTTAACCACTTAAATTCATTTTTATTAAATATACAGACAATTGTTCCGGTATTTGTGTCGATTATATCAAGATAAAAGTATATGTAGTTTGAATTTATACAAAGACTACATTTTTCTCGATACTAATGAATTAAACGAAATTAAATGTAAACATTCACAGAATTAAAAAAATGAATTGCTATATCAATAATACAAATACATAAATAAAATAAAACAGACGGTTTTTGTAAGCTTTCAAGGTGGAATTTTTAACTTTCCGGATTAAAACCATCTTTGATTGCTTGTAAATAGATCACTTTTTCTCTGTACGTTAAAACATATAATCTGATATTTCGATTTCTAAAATGACGTTTAAACTATTAAACAGCTGAATATTCGTGATGTTTAGTGGTCTTAATTGACCTATGAAGAGATGAAAAGGCCGGTGTCACGAGCGGGATTCGAACCCACGACCTTCGCAGTTGAAAAATGGTACACCGAGGGAAAATTCGAAAGGTTGAGATGAGTCGTTGGTGTCCGAGTGGATCGAAGTCAAGATAGCTCAAGTGGTAAGAGAGTAGCGTATTCAGCCGAAGGTCGTGGGTTCGAATCCCCCTCGTTACACTGGCTTTTTCATCTCAACCAAGACTTTAGTTAAAAAGATTGACCGATTGAAACTTTATAAATATTTTAAGTTTTAGAGTTTTGCAAACGTAAATTTGCTTTGAAAATTATATAATTTCCTGTAAGTGTTTTTGAGTGCATGTTGTACACATATTATAGTAAAGAAACGTTTAAAAGCTAAAAAATAGACAGTGTAATATTTCCTAATAATAAAATTTCCTGGTAAAGCGTATCCATAAAACCGGTTACTTGTATATGACAAAATATGCGAACAGGTGGCTAAATAAAATGTCGAAATGCCCAATGTGATCAGAAATGACTAATCTATGTGAATAATTATAATTAACCAAAGTGTGGCAACTCATTGAAAAGGTTTTGCTATATATTTGTGTGTAAATGAAAAACAAGGCAATCAGGAACTGTTATTATTTCCAGTAAACAAAAGAATTTATTGTGACTTACATTTTCAGGTACGACTTGACAAAGGAATTGGACAAATGATTTTGTTGGTCATAATGACTAAAATTGTTGTTTGTTGATTCCGGAAACGTCTCTTCTATTCGTATTTTTGACTGTAACAAGGTCGGCGCTTTTTTAACTGTTTTCTTCGTCCCGTCTTTCTTCGTCACTTCTTTGAGCTTTTTATCATCGTCTTTTCTTTTTTTGGCACGTTCTCTCGAGATCTTCATGTACGTGACGAGCCGCTTTCTTGGCGTGAAGCTGCCACGCATTGTCAGCCTGGGTGAACCGGACACGGCGATCTTCGACATCTTCTCGGTGTACCTGGTCTTTTTCGTCTTTCCGCTCATCTTTTTCCAGTCGACGACTTTGGGAACCTTGAAAACACTCTCTGCCGCCTTCTCGGAAGTCGGTCCCACCGTCTCTTTGTCTTGTGAATGTTCGAATTGCAATTCGGTCGAAAAAGTCCCTTCGGCAGACGCAGGAGGTGCAGGATCTGTAGGTGTATCTTTGGATGACATTTTTTGATAAAGACTGATTGTGTTTGGTTGAAACCTCATAATTCCCTTTCGCGCATGGTCAGTGCATATATCATTTATAATTGTTTTTTTAAAGGATATATAGCTATAAAAATTATTCCGAACTTTCATTTAATTATCCTCACATGAGACTAATCAACCAGGCTTTGCAAAACAGTTTTAAAAACATTAATAAAGACCACTCTAGTGGTACCGCTCAAGTTCTCACATGGCGGGAAATTCAAACGTTTCATCGTACGAATTACTGAAACGTATCAAGTAAAAATTTTTTGTAGTTTGGTTGTTTGCGTTTTTATTTCTGGCCATTTTCAGTGAAATGTTTGTTTCTGAATTTTTGCAAATGACTGACCAAGACAGGTTGAGACAGTCATAAATAATAACAGGAAATAATATAATTTAGCAAAGACTTTGTTATATGTTGCAAACTTACAATTAAAATTAATAAAACCAGCATTTATCTTAAGTTATATGTATAATATGTTACATGATAATTATGTATAATTATCTTTTTAAATAATTCGAATTTTCTGAAAACATGAAAATAAATATAAAAGACGAATTATTTCTGCCGCTTTTTTAAGGTTATACTTAATATTCATCAAGTTGCACTAGAAAATAATAGAACATTATTTACACAGTTTTATTGCAGACGTCTGGATTTATGAAAATGTTAAAATTGTATCAAGGAGATACAAAATCTGTGAATATAATAATAAAATTTAGAAGAGGTATTTTTAAGGAAAAATCAACGTACAGGTCAAACTAAGTGAAAGATCAGTGTCATTATTTTATGTCTAGCTTTCGATCTATCATTAGGATCTGCATTGATTTCATACATAAATTCATATCAGTAAAAATATAGCAACAATCAACTTAAACATATATTAGTTTCAGAATTTTAGAGGAACTTCCTTTTCTTAGGTTGTTTTTTAAGTTTCATATATTTCTATTGATTTTTGAATTGTTTGTTTTATTTTTCCTTTCGAATTTCTCCTTTTTGCACTTAAACTTTCATTCCGTCGGAGGTTCGGATCGAATTCGTTCGGCCCTTGAACCAAGCTCTGTGCGGCACACAGCTGAGACAGAGGTGCGTCGCCTCCTACCTTGAGAAACAAACGTCTGATAAGGCCTTGTGCCAGGTGCGGACCATAAAGAACCTCATCGTCTTTCTCAAGACGATGCGACCCCGAACGGGAACTTCATGTTACTAAACACCGGGCGCAAAATAATGGTGCAGTCCTGAGGGCGTGGCAACCTCTCTAAAGCAGAAGCTGTACTCGTGTCGGCATGGGGCGGAGGGTGCCTTATCAGAGGCACACGAAGGTTAGGGTACCAGATCCTGTCTGGATAGACGGGGGAGGGTGCGTAACCATCTGTACTACGGGGTAACAGAAATGTTCCAAGGTTCAGCCCCTGTTAGATTGGGAATGGACTCGTAGTGGTTCGTGGTAACGCTCCTGACGGGACCTTAGAGAAGAGGTTGTCTTCTATCTGTGACAAAACTTGCGTATGACCACCAATATAAACACGGCCTCACGAGATACGGCGGATCGGATGGCAACGTATCAGCGTTGAAGACGCTATGATTACTCTGAAAAGTCCCTCGAATGCGTGAGTAGTGGCGGATGGGAACGGGTAGTGAATCGGTTGCTCCTACTCGAGTATGCTTTGCACGTAGGTGTAGGCTGAGCTCGATTGGAGGCTTTTACCGTAGGTGGTACTCCTCTAGGGGGTGGTTAGCAATTCCACTTTGAACAAAACCGCAGCCGGAGCGGATCCGGTAGTTTCTGCGCTAAAGAAGCCTCAATACTCGGGGAGGTCGAGTGGCCTTCTCTACCTAGGGAGTGCGCGGAAACCAGGCTGATGTATTTCGGCTTAGGTAGACCTTTGCGCGCTGTATACGGTTCGATGCTTAATGCGGACCCGACCACTCAGAATGGGCAAGCGGGGAGCGAAGTTGTCTTGGGCCTTCGAGGCTGAGCTGCCTCTACACCAATGCTGCGGCAGTAACACAATCCTGTCGTATGCGGAGGTGCGTCAGCTCTAATCTTGAAAATCAAAACGTCCGATAAGACCGAATAGGCTAGGTTAAAGATCCTCTATGTCCTTTGTAGGATGACCGAGTGTACGGGAAAGTATGTTACTAAACACCACTCATTATTAACTGTTTCAAAATTTGACATTTAAAAAAATATAGAGAGAAATGCGGTGGCTCAGTCGTTAGGGAGATCCATTCGTATTTGCCTCCCTGAAGTGGTCCGTGGAATTTAATTGAGGAAAATATTAATGAATGTGATTGATTGACGTGTTTGATCTTATCATATTGGATGCCGCATATGAAGTTTTTGATGATATTTATTTTGATTTTTTTTATACATGATTAAAACAATCAGTATATATTGTGGAGAAATAATATAAGCACTTGCCCCGTTAACATTGTTCTTCAGCCCGTTGAACAAACTTTTAGAAAGTTATTCGAAGTTAGCACGTTGTTATGATTGATAAAAGATCATATCTGCATCGGATAGGCTCAATTGAAAAAAAAATTTAAAACTCCTTCCCCAATCCTTGCAAAGGGCCTTCCGAGACCCCCCCCCCCAAGTCCCACACCCCTGGATATATACAAAGCGAGAAAACTGATGTGGATTGATGGAGTGAAATTGAATCAGCATGAAAAATGTAGATGGCATTTTATTATACCGGAGCTGGGGATAGCGTTGATGACGCGAAACAAGCCCCGACTTTTCCTATTTGTCATTCGGCCCGAAGGGAGAGACCGTTCTGATGTTTATAAAATGTATTTATTCGTTTCGGCCTATTTGCGGTTTAATAGCCGCTCTTTCTCCAGTACGAAGTGGTCATTTACTCGGACATGCTCATTTGAGATAACGTTCTTTACAAATGGTCAGACATACATATAGGATTTTTTTTCTTCCCCATCTTCCCCTTGTTTCCGTTTGGAAAATATTTGTACAGAGTACAAACGTTCTTAGAAAAATGTTACTGTCTGCAGATAAGTTCTTCATCGACCATGTCTTCTATATAAACTTATACTTGTTTTCTTTCTTAACAACAGAAATACGTAAATTATCTACACGACTTTCTAGCTGAAGGAAAAGAAAGTTATTGCCTTCAGTTTTTATACAAACATTTCTTATATTTAATCTAAAATATTGAATTAATATTCTATTTAATTTTATAATATCAGGGTAGCTGTGTTTTCTTTAACCATCTAAATAATGCTTTTCACTAGAAAGGGGAGACTCATTAGATGTAAGCATTTTAAAGGAAAAAAAAACTCTACTTTTTCTAGCCTTACCTTTCACTAAGGCCCGAGGAAGGAGTTATGTGAATTACCCGAACAATGTATTGGCAAAAAATTGTATAAAATTGGTGTGATTTGCTGGTATAGGGTCGCCCTAAAGCCGGGTACCCGATGGAACCCTATGCGACGCTACCCGATGCTACCCGTCGCCTTGCCACGTTTTGGTAGGGTGTGCGCATCTATGCGACGTCAAGCGCACGCCACGTAGTCACACAGCGTGATTCACAATAATCACTATCACAATCGCAACGCTTCTTTTGTTCTTAATGCGTTATTTTGAGCAAAACCGTGTAATAAATTGTTAGTTAAATTCACTATATCAAAAACGGTATTCAGGTGTTTTGATTAATTTAAAAAAATGAATTTTTGATCTCGGTTAATTTGGTTTATATTAAAATAAGTATGTTGTAATTAATATAACAACAATAATACATGTAGTTAGAATAAAAATATGAGTGTCCGATTCTTTTGCCTTCGACTGTACTCGATGCTAACCGACGACAATCTGTACAGTGGGGATCGCAGAGCGTAGAGTAGGGTAGCGTTGCATAGCAGGGCAGATGTGCAAGGTGGTAATACAATCTTATGGAAAATTTGACTTTGGATTTGCGTCGCATAGCGTTCCATCGGGTAAGTGTGTTTCCGGCTTAAGGTATCGCGGGATTGTGGATAGAAGAAATAATGAACAATATTGTGATAGGGGTCTTGCTTGGTTGGGTAAATATAATAAGAGTGATTTTTTTAAAATGTTTATCCTCCAGAGTTAGCCCCATTTTTCTATTAGTTGGTTATCAGAGAAAAGCAAAACTGTATCGCCGGTAAAGGATGTAAGGATGATGAAAGTGTGGTCAGTATGTCTGAAGGTAAAGGGGGACATGAGTTGGTTCGAGCACACTGTCGTGTGGCACTCTCGCTAAGGGCATTCGAATTAGTCCGAACCGTGGCGAAGCCGTAAGAATCGTGGTGTGAGGTAGGAGTGTAGGATTAGGTATTAGGTGTCTGGAACGACACGCTTTAGTATAGAGGACCGCATGCCACACAACCCTTATGACACATCTTGAAAAGTCCCCATGTGGACTGTTCGGTCTTTCAAGCAGAAATACATGCCATCAATGCTTGTGCCCTGGAAAATCTTAAAAGTGGTTACACTGATAAAAAAACCCTCATACGATCAGATAGCCAAGCAGCCCTTAAAGCATTAGTATGTAAAAGAATCACATCAAAATTAGTCAGTGAATGCATCCAAAATCTCCAAAACCTGGGGAAACACGACTACCTGATAGTAGCTTGGGTGCCAGGGCACAGTGGAATTGTTGGTAACGAGAAAGCAGACAGACTGGCCAGAGGAGGAAATGCAAGACCATACATAGGCCCCGAACCTACTCTTGGGATAACAAAAACGAATATAGAATCCTCCATTGCAGAATGGATACAAACAAAACAAAAGGAGATGTGGATAAACTTTAGCGGTGCTGGACATAGTAAACTTGTGATGAAACAACCCTCACCAAGACTGGAAGACTGGCAAAAGCACTGTTGCAATTGGAGAGGGCCAAACTCAGAGGAGTGGTAGGACTACTAACCGGTCACTGGCATCTGAGAAAACATCTACACAACATGGGTATATATAGCGATGATCCCATTTGCAGATTATGTAATGAAGAGGAAGAAACAGCCACTCATGTCATCTTCGAACGCGAAGCAACAGCTCGATGGAGATTTAACCTAATGTACGGAATAAACTTAGAGAATCAAATTGCAGTAGCGACAGTCAATAACCTGATA